ACCCCAAACCTGAACAGCAGACTAGATTTCTCCATAGAAAGGAGGAAATAACCTGGTAGAAACATGGAAATACTGACTACATTTAGAATACATATGAAATTTTATAAGTCCCTAGACTGATTTTTTGCTGCTATACATTTTTTGCAATCATGATAAGAAAATAACATTAAAACATAACATGAGAACAGACATGCTGGCTCATATCAAAGGTGTATTTAAACCTGGACTAAGCATACAGGCATTTGGATCTGCTGATTTCAAGTGATACCTCTAGTGCTAGATTGGAAGAGATGGTAATTTCTGGATTACCATACATCATCTCAGTACGCTCATGACTTTATGCAATTCCTATCATCTCCAGTTTGTTTCTCTTCTTCTATTGAGCATCACAGGCAGAGAAGTCATTTAGTTTTATTTTGTACCAAAGCTCATCTCTCTCTTTGATTGCCTATGCAACCCCACTGGGTACTTTTCCTGTTTCTTCAATATTCCTGTTAAGATAAGGAAAATCAGAAAGGCACGGTTTTCCAAGTACAGATGCAACACAGATTTAAACAGTGGAATAACAATGATCTGTACTATTTCTTTTTCCTTTTGTAATGATTCTTGGGGGGAAATCTGCAGTCTATTTACTTTTCAACTGCTGGCAAGCAAAGAACTGCTGGTTCCATAGAACTGACTACTGTTAACAGCGAGATGGAAAGATCAACTCGGAATGCAGTTCATGAAGATTAGGATTATTCTTGTCCTGTATGCATCAGTTCACATTTGTCTGTGTAAAATTTGGATCTTGTTTACTCCTTTTCGGAAATCAAACAAGATCTCCCTCATCCACTTGCTTGTTAATTTCTTCAAAGAACTCCAATGTATTCCTGAGGCATGGCTTCCCCTTACAAAATGCATGGTGACTCCTTACCACTGTGTCATGTTCATTCACACTTCAGCTAGTTCTCTTCTTTAGATGGTATTCCATCGGTTTCCTTACAATGGTCACCAGGCTTACTGGGCAGAAGCTCCACGCACCTTTTTAAAATGCAGCACTGCGTTTCCCATTTTGCTGATGCTGAGGATGTTTCAGGTGAGAAGACATCCACCTCAGTCAGCAATTCAGCTATTATTTCCACCATGGGTTTCTTTACAATTATGTTTCAAACCTTTAAGCAACCTCTGATGAGCATGATATTTGAATGCAACAAATCCTTTAAAAATGTAATAAAATATGACGTTCTTATTCCTGAAGAAACATTACATTTTCTTTAAAATTATAAACAGCCTATTGTCAGGCCTGACAAATTTCAGCCCTGGTCTAATGACATTTTTAAGATCTAGTTTCTTGGGAACGCTCCAGACAGGAAACATCTGGTTTGTCCCATTAGAAACATAAGCCTTTACTTCCAGATTTGCCTTATACAAGATACTAATTTTCAAACACAGACTATAAAAGATTTGTATTTATCCTGGGCTTTCTTTGATTGTATCAGATACTGTAGATTAATGTGAATGTGCCATTGCATTTCCTGATTGGGCCTATTTTTCTTATTTATAATTATTGTCATTTGAGCTTTTTTAATAGCATCAGTTTTACAGTGTAAAAATGTACCAGATATACATAACTGGCAGACTGTTAAAAGTCCTGATTTTGAACCAAGACTCAAGTGTTTAGGTAGTGCATTAACAGAATAAGAAAAGGTGCATTGCCCCACAGAATACCTAATTACAAAGCAGAGTGAGAATAGAAAGGGATAATGTGGTGATGATATTCATTCATACAGAAGGCAGTAGTCTACACACACTGGCAGCTTAACTATCGTACAAATTTTTATATAGGCAAAGCAAAATTTTAAGAAGGAACTTAAAATGAATAACAAATGGCTGCTTTACAGATATTTTCAAGGAGTCTTTCAACTGTGAATTGTTAGATAGGAAAATTATAGAGGTATTTATTTGAAAATGTAGCACGTAGACTCTCACAGAATGAGAAAAAAACAGTCTCTGAGAGATCTTCAGAGACAAGACAAGCTGATTATGACCCAAGTAGAAGCAGTGAGCTGGGAGAAGAAAAATCAAATTTGTTCAAAAAAAAGAGCAAAGTTGGAATGTTATTTTTATGGCATTTCAGACAGATATGAACAAGACAAGAATATATTTATCTAGCCAAAAGGTAAAAAAGTTGCATAATAAAACTTGACGTGACCTGACCTTTACGTACTGATGTATACAAACGACTATCTATCTCCACAATTCTGGACAGAAAGAATCTGGAGAGACAGAAGTCTGAATGTGAAAGATGAAAGGGATGTGCAAATCAGAGAGGATGTCTGCCACGGAATGATCAGAGAAAGGTAGAGGCATACACAAAATGTGGTAAAGCTCCACACTAACAATACTGAATTCGCACTAAGACCAGAAGAACACAGGTTAGAGACAGATCTAGGTTTTACCATCTGTAGTTAGTGACTCTGGATTATAGACAGTACCTAAATTAACATTTGCAAATGCTGTTAACCCCACAGATCAGGTAACAGGGAAAGCATGATGGGGATTCAGGACAGAATGATATGGATGAAAATACTGAAAAGGTGTATCCTGTAAAGAACATGCTGAAGGGTACGGAGAGAACAGGTGAAAGGGAATTGTACTACAGCATCCATCTTTTCCATTATTTTAGCCATTCAGTCAGATGATTTCATTATTTAGATCAACAACAATAATGCATCCAACAATTTTTGCTCTTTTGAGGCATTTGCCAAAATCCTTGATGCAGTGGAAGGACTTAACTTGGAGTTAAACAGGTTTTGAACCAGTCTCTATCCTGCCCTCTCAAATCTGACAAACAATATACTTTTGTCCTTTAACGTTCTCAAAAGGCAACTTGCCAAAATCAAATTAGCACATCAAACTATTGTTAGCACTAATTAACTAGTAAATCAACAGTTAGTTAACTAATTAGCATATCCGTCTTCCCCAGTCAGGTCATTTATTATTTTAGTTTTAGCAAATATCCCTACCAAGTAGCGTGATGCACATATGTGATGCCTTAGAAACCTGTTCCTTATTATTTGAAAATGAGAAAATATAATAGATCTACAACAGTCTTGTTTGAATGTCAGGAAACAAAGAGCCTGTTTCAATTATGAATTTAATTGATTTTTGAGCCATAAATTAATATATGGTTCCAGTTGCATGCAATTGTATTCTTTAACCTAGCAGAGTTGGTTTAAACCATGTAAATCAACTGCTCGACTCCATTTTATTCAGAGCATGCGGATTTTTATTGGAGATAGACCAATGTTTCAAGTGTTTCCCTAGCTGTTTTTCTTAGCTAAGAGGAAGAAAAATGATACTCTGGCTCTGCTCTTCAGTTTTCAATTTTTTCTCACAATCTGTATTATGGAGCAGAAGGGTTGGTCTTTGGAAGCTATATTGCAATTTATAGTAGTTTTCAATAATATGCTATACTTACTTTCCTACAGTAGTAATTTGTACTTCTTATGTGCACTGAGAAATTATTTTAAACCGGCTATGTCTTCTTGCGAAGACTATACTTACATTTAGGCAAGCAGATATTTTCTGCACACAAAATGAGAATGTGTTTTATATGTATCCAGTTCCATAGCTCACCTGTGCTTACGCAAGTGGAACAGGATTTTTCCTAAGGCAATAAATACTTCTCTATCCGTATGAAAAATTATATTTTATACTCTTAGGCATTATCATTTATATTTCACTAAAATACTAAAAGTAAACCAGTGGGAGGGGGGGAATCAAAGGATTAACACTGCACAAATGTAAACATGAAAACTCAGTACCCCACAGTTAACAGAGCAAGCTGCTCAAAAGACGGTTTTCTGCTAATAAGAGTTTTGATTCATTCACCCAGCTAACGGTTGCAGTAGCTGAAGGCACTGACTGCCCTGGACTTTTTGTTGCCATCCCACTGCTGTAGCTCGCTGCCACTGCAGCTACGCGATGAGATCAGAAGCATGCCCAGCTCTTAGCGGCCTCACCACGTACTCCAGCTCCTCTGGTCAGCTCTTCCTCCACCTTCCATTTACACCAAGAAGCCAAACTCTGCACTGAAGTGACCGGTGTGCAGACATAAGATTTCTCCTGCCAACTCTGCCATGTGGTCAGTGGTCTTCCACAAAAGAGGACTACCAACAGCTAGGATAACTCTTTAACCAACCGTTTCCAGATTTGCTGCAGTGATTTGCCAAAACCTCTGCTCACTGGTTATTCTCTTGAACACTCTTTTCCAAGGTTGAAATTTTTCATGACTGGCAAAAAGAGAACTTGAGTGTGGATTAAGATAAATAGAATACATTTTAAAAATCTATCAATCCTCCTGGGGTTTTTGGGTGTTTTTTTTTGTGAAGACTGCCAGCTAAAATCCAGGATATCATATTGCAGAGATGTATATTTTTCTCTCTCACTCATAAACACCTACAGGTGACTCAAAAAGGCTTAAGGCAGCAAGCAGGCATGTGTTTTACATATTTGACTCCAATTTTCGGGGTGGCAGGGAGGAAACACCTTAATGTATTCTTTGCAAATAAGAGACTCTACCAGGATTTTCTTCCAAAATTTTGTCTGGCTGCTTGGATAAACCAATTCTAACTAAGAGTAACTAGGATGATTTTAGATAAGCAGAAATAACTTTCTAAATTAAGGTGATTATGGTTCAGTATTTAATTTTAATTTAATTTAGTTTTGCAGCAAACAGTACAGATCATACTAGAAATTTTCTGCTGCCTTTGAAAGAAAGCACTTCCAGCAGCAGGTGACTTTCAGATGTGTTACTTGTCTAATAAATCACCAGCATCACATTCCAGAGCATTTCTAGGTTTTTTAGAGTTCCTTTTCCAGTCCCACCTACTATAACCCTGTTTAACTTGTACTGTCAAATTGTAGTATCAGTGAGATGACCACAAGCTAAAAATTAATCTGATTGCAGTAGAAATGCATTAATTTAAATAATTCACAGTAACATGCAGACTGACCTGTCCAGTAATAAGTTAGGTGCAAATAGAAGCTTTCCTGGGTGTTCCATGGAGCGCCAGACTAAGCCGATCATCAATATCTCTAACCAGGCACATTCCAGTAGATGGACCTGATCATGGAGTGTTAAATCCACAAATCCTGAAAGAATAAATAGGAGACAGTAAAAACACTCCAGTTTTGTAAGTGGAACAACATTTTTCAGAGAATCAGGTTCAAAAGTACATTGGAACTGGATAACCAAAAAGAAAAAGCAATAAAACAGACATTTGTCCTCTTTACATTTTGAGCTGAGTTTTGTCTATTGTTAGGTTCACTGTGGCTCCATCCTACAGAAGAGTCAACACTTTCTAGCCCCCTGGTTGTGTCCTGGCTGCACCCTGCCCCAAGAGCAGGGCAAGAATCAGGTGAGCATCTCCATGCCCACCACCTGTTGGCAGTGGCCTGGGAAGCTGGGCACACACTGCAGAAAGGGACAGCTGTCTGCTCCGGGCCCAAGATGCCTGGGTCAAGATGGAGGGAAAGTGGAAAAATGCTTCTTAGAAAATGAAATGATAGCTCTAATTAGGTAATACCAGATCACATTTCTTGGTGCAATCTTGTTTTACAGATGCAGAAACAATTCACTGTGCTGCAAGTGCCATACCTGTGCAGAAGAGGGCCCAATACAGCATTTCAAATAAAGTAGCAAGCAAACGCTGATCACTGCACAATCAGAATTCACTGATGAACCACTTGCTTGTATTTCTATCGGACTATAGCGCCTGGAGGAAGGAGGTGACCTCTCTTACTCTGTATTTAAGCAACGCTAGAAACAATAAATGCAAAATTGCTTATAGCAATACTAAAATATGAATATAAAAGAATAACAATTAAGGTAGACATGAAAGCACAATGACAGTGGTCATTCCTGTGTTCATTTCATGGAACAGATTATACCATTCTCTATTTGAGATTCTCACTTTTCATGAACACATCTCCTGTGAGGACAGGCTGAGAGAGTTGGGCTTGTTCAGCCTGGAGAAGAGAAGGCTCCGGGGACACCTTAAGGCAGCCTTTAAATACTTAATAAGAAAGATGAGGACAAACATTTCAGTAGGGCCTGTAGTGCTAGGACTAGGGGTAGTGGTTTTAAACTAAAAGAAGGTAGATTCAGACTAGATATAAGGAAGAATTTTTTTGCAATGAGTGTGGTGAGGCACTGGAACAGGTTTCCCAGAGAGGTGGTAGATGCCTCATCCCTGGAAACATTCAAGGCCAGGTTGGATGGGGCTCTGAGCAACTGGATCTAGTTGAAGACGTCCCTGCCCGCAGCAGGAGGGTTGGACTAGATGAACTTTCAAGGTCCCTTCCAACCCAAACCATTCTATGAGTCTATGAAGGTTACTTCCAATCCAAAGATATAAGAGGAGACTGCATGAAACAATTATTAGATCCTAGTATAAGTTATTCTTTAAAATTACCATGAACTTGCTAAAATGAAATGTGTAGAAGTTCCCTTAAAACAGATCTTATTTATCTTTTACTCAGTGTTATGTGTAAAACACCTTACTGAACTTTGCCATAATTTTTTTTTTCAATTTTAATCAATTCATATTAGTCTTCAGAATACAAGTTACAGGGTAAACTACCTTACCAGCCCAGTAAATAACAGTGATTTTGCTTCTGTGTTGTGTCCTCACTAAGGTATATACTGAGTCAGTTTCAAGTAATATACCCGACATGCCCTCGAGTATTATCTTGAGAAAAGGAAAAAAAAAAAAAAAGGCAAATATTTTTAAAGTTAAATGTTGTGCTGCTGTGAAATATTTAAAAACCAACCAAACAAACAAAAAAGACGAAGAGAAGGAACAAAATATAGTTCACAATAACTTAGAAAATAGTTATGTTCTGTAAAATAGTTGATGATATAATTATTTTTAATGAAACTGAGAGAGCTAACCAGTCTATTCATAAAGAATCATTAAAAAAAAAAAAAAAAAAAAAGGAAATATCTTTGACACATCTGAAATAAAACTCATCTATCAATTATTAGGAGTGGATTTAAACAGCTGCAGTACCTGTTATTTTTATGAAAGTGGAAACTATTGGGGAAAAAAAAAAGATTTCTTTTCCTGTATTTTTCCTTTATTGCCAAATGCAAAAATGACTTTCAAACTTCACAGACAGGTAGAATGGCATTTGTCTGAGTCACCAAACAGCCTGAAACAATAGAGCTGAAATTTAAAAGAGCAGCCTTTTCAACTACAAAGCGCTGATTATAGCACTCAAGAATGAAACTGGCAGAAAGAGACTGCTGTCTGTATGTGGAGAACAAATAAACACCATGTTTCCTATTAGGTGTTGCCTTGGTATGACAACACATAATAATATAGTGGGTTTATCTATGCTTGAAGAGTACCACAGCAACGCAGGGACATGAGTCCCCGTGTCTGAAGTTTGCAATCAGTGCATTACAAGTCAGTCATATTACCGTCATTCCACATGGCTGCACACTATTCTGCCACAGATTGCTTTGATTGTTGCAGAAAAACTGAGCTTGTTACAACTGTGGCAATTCATTTTCCTGCGCAACTCAGCTCATTCTACAATATTCCCGATGCCAAAATGCTTTGCTTTGTTCTCCACACTGTCTTGGTCTTTCCTTGTACTATACCTATTCTCAAACCCTTTTTAAGCCCCACCTTTTTATTAGCTCTATTTTTCCCCATCCCCATATGTTCCCCACATATCTCATCCCCACATATTTCAGATTGCACTGCGGCTAAGTAATCTGCACAAAAACTAAAGAGAGAAAGTAAAAAAGAAAACTAATAAATTACCTTACTAGTATTGTAGAGGAGGGATACTTTGTTAGCCTGCTCTGAGAATAGAAATACACTGCCCAACAATGCTAACATCTTTTAAAGTATCTGAATGTGAATACTTTGCATTAAAAAGTCTTAAAAGGATTGGCCAACAATATCACTGCTGTCTGGAATATTAACTCTGATTTCAGTGAAGCTAAGGAATTTTCAAAAAAACAGGATGCAAAAGAAAATTGATTGTGAGTCCTTAGTTTAAAGCATTAAATTATCTGTCAGCCTGACATCTACTTTGAGTTCTATAAGAAAACAGCTAACACAAACCTTGACTAATGCGGGTTTCAAAGTCTGTAATGTAGTAATATATATCAACTGTAATTCATAAAAAAAACTTATCAAATTTCCTTGATGGGGTTTTAGGTGACATTATAAGTTTTGTTGATAAAAAAAATTAGTTTTGATGAAACAGATTTCTATGAGACATTTGATTTCGTAAAAACATGCAACAGATTAACTGAATTAAAATATTTTAAATGACACCTCTCAGTATGTAACGGCATAGGGATAATGAACTGAATTGATCTGAAGTGTTTCTAAGGAAATGCCATACAATTTGTTTCTCTACCCTAGACAATTTTTTTAATGATGACACGGAAAAAACATAAATCATGATTCAGATGGCATGATGGCATGTAGAAAATAATGCAAAAAGCATGTTGATAATGTAAGCAATCTACATCACTCACTAGCTTCATCATAAAAAATATAGACATAAGTTTTAAACCAACAACATTAAGCATATATACAAGATGGAAACAGTAAGCCACTATGAAGAGGACGTGGAAATGATGGAGAAAAATTAGCCCAGTTTGAACTTCCAGTGGAAGCTATGTCGGAAAAAGACAATGAACTTTATAAAAAGCCAGGGAAATATTGAGAGATTAAGGAAGTTAAATTACCACCGTGTTACCTGAATGTGGTAACTATTGTTCAAGCAGGATGAGAAGTTGGGCAGAATGATAGAATGATAGAATCATAGTGTCATAGAATGGTTTGGGTTGGGAGGGACCTCAAAGATCATCTAGTTCCAACCCCCCTGCTGCCATGGGCAGGGACACCCTCCCCTAGACCAGGTTGCCCAAAGCCCCATCCAACCTGGCCTTGAACACTTCCAGGGATGGGGCAGCCACAACCTCTCTGGGCAACCTGTTCCAGTGCCTCACCACCCTCACAGTGAAGAATTTCTTCGTAACATCCAATCTAAATCGGTAGAGAAACATCAAAATGAATACCGCATTGAAAAACACGCCCTCTAGTGAGGAATAAGAGTAATTTAGTAAAGGTAAATAGGCTAAAGGGGTTAAAGGACCGCAATGGGTACGTACCTAAAGAAAAAGAGAACGACATTACAAAACGTAATGCAAGAACATACAGAAGTCCATGCTGGAAGCTAAACCTGCTCCAGGTCAGACTACAAATGAGGGGTCATTGTTAACAACAAAAGTAGTTATTATCTAAGCAACATACTAAGTTTCCATGAATTTGCTATCATTAGAAACATTAATCAAGATTTATTTATTATTTTTAAGACATACTCTTGTTCAAGCAAGGTAATTCAGAATAATGTTACAGAAGGTTAAATTAAATGATGAATAAATCATTAGTCACTTCATCACTCCTAGCATGCTGCACTTAATGTCACTAAAATTATGTGTAGATGTGCACTGCATTCTCAAATATCAGTGTTCTTTTAATGCTGACAAGTTTTGAAAGAAAAAGTATTTTCAAATTCTAAATTTTTGGTCATTGTTCTTTAAGGAAAAAGAAAGAGCTTCATGTCACTGTTGATAAATTATTTAATTGCAGTTTATTAATATAACCCACATCTGACTCCATACACTGGACTGACCAATTGCATGATTTTACGAGACATATCAAAATCCTTGTGCGGCCAAAACCCAAAAGACCTAGACTGCCATTAAGCCATTCATACATCATATGCTTGCCAGGAGAAAGACACAGAATAAAAGCCATGGTTGGACCATCCCTTTCTCATATACAGATAAATTAACAGTATTTTTGAACGATTGCCAACACAGAACACAATAATTGTTCCACAAACTCTTGTGTAAATATGGAAATCTGCACTTCTGAAAAGCCAGAAAGGTCTTCTGAGCACTCAGCTAAGAGTAGGTGGCAAATAAATTTATGTTATCTGCAGAATACAAAATGGTAATGTTCAAACTAAACAGATTATCCTTTCTCATATAAAGCAGCAGTATGTGCCACATCAGTGACAATATGATACAAATGTCTCTCTTCCAGACAATAAGACAC